CACAGCCCTAGGGGATACATTAATTTTTTGAAAAGCTAAATGTAGGTGAAACTCTTATTCAGACAAATGACGTTCTAAAATAAATACATTACAGAGGATACGTACGAAAGGATTAATTAATCGTTAATCGTTTATTAAAATCATTTAACCATAGCAAATGTAAAGAGCTGCACGACCATCAGCTATTGGAGAAATTAACGTCACCAGTCTCTAAGTTCGTATCGAATGATGCACGTCTGGCTATGAGAGATGTTGCTTTGATATTTGGCATTGGGTAGCAACAACATACAAGTGTGTAAAGGGAGATTGAGAGGATTTGTGCCTGTTTGTTGGGTTCCTAGAGTCTTCTCAAGTGAAAAAAGAAACAGTTGACGTTTTTTCATATCGTTTAAATGCGAAATATAATGTAATGCTGGAGTAACGTTAAAATGACGTTGTTATATATCTGCGGAGTGCTCCGGGTCGATGGACGACTCAGGTGTATAGAATGTTATGGGGATTTATCTAATGATGCTACCAACAAGATATTTTGAATTTTAGTATTATTTGTTACAGAAAAATTCTGAGAAACTTTCATGAATTGTTCTCCCTCCTCTCTTTAGTTAAAGTAAATGTCTCCATAATTTCTGAAAAGCCCTCGTATATACAAGTGCATGTATATATGGAGTCATGCATTTTAGATATATGTCAATTCTTCCCTATTTCCCTTTCTCAATAAAATATTGGTTTAAAGCATTTTGATCTACTCTTTCACTTACACAGAGACACTAATATACATTTATTGACTGGGTTCGAGGGCAACGTGCGTTTTGTCGGACCCAAGAACCAAACTGTTTGCTTGAGGCCGTTAGGCCCGAGAACACAGTCAATAAATGTTTTGGTATACCTTTCATTTATTTATTTTATTTTTATTATTTAACATATATACATGTATGTCAAACACCAACGAATGCAGATGAGATTTAGCTGCCCCGCCCATTGTGTGACGTAAGCGGTCCAACATCTCATCGACAGGTCCAACATCTCACTCCGCGGTCAAACTTCGATTTTTTTATGACCGCTCAGCAAAACATTGGAAATGTTAGACTTTTATTAGTATTGATTTATATAGGAACAAATTTTCAAAGGTATAACAATTAAGTCTCTGTCTCTGCAATATCATGTATTATACATTTATTTACTGTGTTCGAGGGCAACATGCGTTTTGTCGGATCCAAGAACCAAACTGTTTGCCTGAGGCCGTTAGGCCAAAGGCAAACAGTTTGGTTCGAGGGGTCGACAAAACGCATTTTGCCCGAGAACGCAGTCAATAAATGTTTTGTTATACCTTTTATTTATTTATTTATTTATTTTTTTTTTTTTTGGTCATTATTATTTTTTGACATACATGTATGTCGAACACCAACGAATGCAAACGAGATTCAGCTGACCCCGCCCATTATGTGACGCAAGCGGTCACATCTCATCGATAGGTCCAATATCTCAGTCCGCGGTCAAACATCGATTTTTTTATGCCCGCTCAGTAAAACATTAGAAATGTTAGATTTTTTTTAGTATTGATTTATATAGGAACAAATTTTTAAAGGTATAACAAACATAATTATGGCTTTTATTTAATTAATATTTTGTTTTTGATGATAATGAACCATGTCACTGTCTTTTTAGGTGATTGTTTCACAGGAAGCTTAGGCATAAATAATATGAAGTTTTCGACAAAGGATCAAGACAATGACGTTGATTTGTCTAACTGTGCGACTGCGTACACTTCCGCGTGGTGGCATAATCGTTGTCATTGCGCCAACCCAAATGGGCAATACCTGTCTGGATACACAGACTTAGTTGCAAAGGGGATCACGTACGATCCCTGGCTTGGTCACGGCTACTCACTAAAATATGTACAACTAATGGTTAGAAGGGTACTCTAAGAGTCAACTTAAATATTTACAATATTGTCATCTATGAAATAAAGATATCATTCTCTCGATGTGGATTTCTGACCATAAACGCATATTACGTGTAGGCACACTTTAAATCATAACTACTTTTCTTAGTGTATCTAAACATTACATTTGCTACAAACCGTGGCATTTTGTTTAACTTGCTTTTGAAATATGCACACTTTTTCAATGAATTTAATGCATGTGTAGGTAGTTGTATAGTTAACAAAATGTCCTAGCTTTCAATTGAAGGTTATATTATTTTCCAATTAGCAATGTTGTGAATATATTTTCCAATTCATATTCTGAGTTATCGTATGAGTCCCGAAATTAAGTATATATCAATTCTATTCTTCAGTTGTGCGCATGCACGGGAGCTAATAGAGATAACTCTACAATTGATAGATCTTCGTTTTCTTTATAACCATTGACTAAATTGTCTTGAAATTTTCCCGTTTGATTTTTATTTGTATCTCTATTTTCAATTGTTACAATTAAAGAAAATGCTTAATAATTCAATGAACAGAGTTTCGTTTTTTTAAAAGTTTATATCATAGTGAATTGTCAAAAATATAGATCATGTCTTTTTGAAATGATAATAGTTCGTTAGTAGGGTCTGTATATTGTATGCATTATGTAAACTACTTACATGTTTTAAATACTTCTGTTTTAAATTTCTGTAACGTAGGCAGTTGTTAAATTTCTAGGTGATTTTCTTGCTAAATAAATGTAGAAACAATTTGTATTCATTGCCTATTTTCTTTGAATATGAAGGATCATCGTATGGAGCGTAAAAGTTGTAAAGAAAATATAGCTGTGAATTTTTAAGCATTATAATATTGTACATGTTGTTTGCATGTATCTCGTTATGGTTTTTGACAATTGTTTCCCAAACAAATCTATACGAAAATTAGTCTTTTTACTGATAGTTCAAAAAAGATGTTGTTCCGATCGGTGATATTTCGAAGAGCTTAGATACTTTTACGTTGCATTTAATTTGCGGTGTTTGACAGTTGACAAGAGTTAAATTCACATTGCTTATAAATAAAATTTTAACAAAATTTTGCATCTAAATAGCACACATGTAGACCACTGCAATATTTGTAATGGAGATAATTTTTAAAAGATATAACAAGACATTTTTTGAGTGTGTTCTCTAATGGCAAACAGTTTAAATGTATTTCTTTGGTCGGGTAATAGTATGTTGCCCTTAAATCCCAATGCCAGTCGATGTATATTATAATATTAAATATCTGAGGACTCTTTAAGTTCTTCGTGTGATCATGTAAAGCATTATTCCGTCTATATCTTACAATACATTTATACTGTATGTATAGAATTCCATGTGTAATTTCTTTAATGATAAGATAGAACTCGACTTTAGGTTATGACCACTCTTCTTACAATTTAAAACACCCCTTTTATACTTTGAATATAATGTTAAGCTTTCCGCTGGATGAGATCAGTCAATTTAAATGTTTTAATTTCATCCATCGTTAATGTATATTGAATTTGTATCTTCTTCAAATTACTTTAAAGAATGTTTCTGGAAATATAAATCAAAGAAAAATATTATTGCTTTGACGTTTGTGATAAATGGATTTTCGATAATCATTCCTTTGACGAAAATTAAAGTCTATCAGGTTTGAATGGTTTATCTTGTTATCGACTCAGTTACGTCAACCGTACAATTAATCATTTTAAATTTATTGTAAAGTATGTTTAGGGATTTTAATTTGTTACAAAATCAATACTTTTTTTAATCCTTTTTATCTGATTTGAATGTTTCTGTTGTTTTGTGCTTAAATGCTAGTAATGTAATTTAACCTTATACTGATGCTACCTTTGCTGATTTGAAACAAACTCAGTGCCAGTTATGCCTTTTAAGCTCACCTGAACCGAAGTGAGCTTTTCTGATTGAAATTTGTCCGTTGTCTGTCGTCGTTGTCGTTACACTTTTCACTTTTAAAACGACAATCAATGACAATCAATATCTGATACCTCGAAAATTTGACTGTTCATTATTTTAGCTCACCTGAACTGAAGTCTCAGTTAGCTTTTCTGGTCACATTTTCGCCCGGCGTCCGTCTGTCTGCCTGTCCGCTGTGAATTTATCGCATTTTCGACCTCTTCTCCAGAACACTAAGCCAAATTTCAACCAACCTCAATTTTTTTAACTGTATTCTAACAGTAAATGAAATATATTTGCAGACTGAGAAAAAAATGTTGACATATAAAATTAGTTTCCTTAATTAATACGTATCAAGTTCATGTCAGAGAAGCGAGTGTCTCGTGCGAACCATTAAACTTGCAGAAAGTCATTGATAACAGATCGCAGGCAATATTCTTTTAAAAACAAACAGCCAGGCCAGTGTATTTGCAACATACAACAATTACCACCCAGCTGAAGAAATCTTAGCAGAGTTGACAGACCAATTAAAAATATATGAACCAATATATTAAGTTAAAATGCATTTTGTGGTGAAAAAAAGACCGCCCGGATACAAAATTCTGAATTCCGGATAAACGAGACAAAATAACGTTAAAAAATTCCATTCAAATGAAAAATCGTCCGGAAACTGAAGCATCCGGATATCTGAAGGTCCACTGTATCTCCTCAATCAATATATTTTCCACCATAAAATCCTTTCATATTGCTCCATACATGAATACCAACAAGCAATCTTCTAGTCAGTATTGATCTAGGGTTGTCCATGAGAATTTTTTCCTTAAAATAGCCATTATCATGTCACAAATCAGTTTTAAACAAAACAATAGTTAACAGCCGATACTTAGACAATAATGTAATTGCCAATCACACAAAAATGCATTTACTGAATATACCTTTTCAGCATTGATTTCATCAATGGCAACTTCCCTACCCAAGAACCAATAATTCTAGGCATGAAAGTTTCTATCAATTATTCAGTCCATCAATTTTCTTTCATGTTATCTTAACAAATTTATCATGGTAGTGATTATGTAGTTCGGAATGAAAGTCGTTTGGAGTTTTATTAATTGAATAGCAATAGTGACAGGATTTGAAGGAAGGATTTTCTAATGATGGAACTTGCTTCTGTCATCCTTCTACAAGCCATTGTTTTAATATATTGTGAAGGAAACACATTTCAACATATACATATATCAGGAGAGAGATATATTGGGCCAATTATTCGATTCTTTGGTACTATGGGACAGAGGCAATGCATTAATGAATGTTTAACCAGGCCTACTGTGTGTAAAGGTGTCAACTACAAGAAAATACACCTACTTTGTGAAATTGTTTCGTCTATTGATAAAACCGAATATTCCGGGGATTATATTAGAGTCCCACTTAATCAAGTAAGTATTTCAAAAGTACATCACAGGATAAGACTGCACCTTTCAGTCAACTGAATGGTAATAAAAGTCGCAAAAGGCGACTGAATTGCAAAGTTCTGCCATCCAGTCACCTTTCAGCAATCTTTAAGTTACTTTCTGACGACTGAATGGAAGAGTTTTATCCTCGGAATGCTTGCGTTGTTCTAAATACTTCGACTTTAGTAGTGAATTTTATACATTGTATATAGAAGCATACTTGTTTTGTTCATTAAAATTTGGCGCAAGCCCTTCTGTATTCAAAGTCCAGATATGTGTTTCAAAATATCTTTTAACGTGTCATTTAAAATGCCATTTGAAATCAATTCCAAAAGAAATGAGAGATTTTTTTCAGCATACAGTTAATAGAACAGAATGCCTATCCTGCTCGCATGGTGAAAAATGCATCACGCTATTAAGTAATAAGACATACTGTATCAAAGGTAAGTCAATATTTATTAGTAATTTTGAAGGGAAACTAATTTTTTCTGTTTCAATATTGATCAACAGTTGTGTATGAAAACCCATTGGGTTATTAATACTAAATTTAAAAAAAAATACTGAATGTAACTTGGTAAATAAATATTTATAAATATATATCGTTCAGAAATAGATTGTTCATTTGGTAATTGGCTCTAATCCTGAAGCAAAACTCAAATTTTCTGACAAGCTTGAGAGAGATTTTTCTTTCCTGGTTCATATTTACACTTTCATTGCTTGAGCAGGAGAGCTAAGGCTACTTTCATGCCATAAGCGATTAATACAAATTTTACAATGAGACATTGTTAGATTATGCATTTTTTACTTGTTTTATGCCTATGTGTGATTACCAACATTTCTTAAAAGACATTTCTGATTAACTTGTAAATTATACATAGTGATAACAATGTTTTTCAGAAAATTATGATCCACAAGACTGCATTACAATACTTGGGTTATCACCATATTTACCTAGTGGATTATATAGAATAAGAATCCCAGCCCTGGGTCACGTGACTGTATTTTGTGAAATGGAGGCTGATGGTGGAGGGTGGACAGTAAATATCTTTATTCCTACAACTTTTAGAAATCAAAAGCACGAATTGAAAGAGTCAGTGTGATTTATGTGAAATGTGTTACAGACTGGTTAAATTGAATGTTGATAAATTAATTTCGTGTTGCTTAGATCTCAATGACATGTTAAATCATCAGCAGTTATTGGTAAAATGCCTGACTTTTTTTTTTTTTTTTTTTTTTTTTTTTTTTTTTTGAGTTATGCCCATACAGTGTTGGTTCTTTATCATACCAGTGCTGAGGTTTCCTAGAGTCTTTAGAATTTTATCTGGAAAGGTCCTGACACTTTCAAAATGTACCTTCCAATGCCTTTTTTTTTTTTTTTTTTTTGCAAGAGAACTTACTTTAAAGACGTAGGTCATGTATATTAAATGTCGAACTCGCATCCTCTTCATTGAGCAACCAACCGTACGGTACAATATGCTTAATCTGTCCTTTTAACAATTTGTAGTGCATGTGGCCTCGATTTTGATATATCTACATTTTGGAATTTTTATCTTATGTATTATTACTGATGAAACTTTAGTTTATACGCAGTTTTATCATCAATCACTGTATTTGATATTTCACTGTTAAGATATAAATCATAAATGTGATTAGATAGAACTTTTCATCTATCAGATCTATCGGGTTTATACATGTAGATATTGGTCAAATAGCCAATGTGTTTGTACATGTATATCCCAATAGTGTTTTAATTTAATCATGCACTATTTTTCTATTGAATGCGTTTTCTTAAGTTACATACACGTATTCAGGTATTTCAGCGTCGAATGGATGGGTCTGAAGATTTCAATCGCACCTGGAATGAATACCGAAATGGCTTTGGAAAGCAGACAGGAGAGTTTTGGCTAGGTAAAAATTTATAATTAAATTGATAAATTTAGCTCATTGAATTCAATACAAAGACGGACATAGAGCAAAGGATACCAATGAGGTAATGAGCCAAACCGCCAAAGGCCGAGGGCAACAAAACTAATTGAGCTGTTCTCAGCACCGAGGGATAAATATTCTGTCTACTGACTGATCAGACATTCAATAACTTTTATTTCCTTATGATATACTGTACTGAATATATAGACACGGATCGCCGGTCCGAAATTAAAAATATCTTTGTTTCACCTAACCCGACCCTACAATCTCAAGTTGGGTAGGTAGGTAGGTATATAATGTTTTTTTCTAACAGCATCTTTGAAAATCCATTCTGATATTAAATGGAATACTACCTTTATAAATAAGAAAAGTACAAAAGAAAGCGATTTGTAAACAGAATATCATACAAATGCTTTTAAAAGCAAAATTTAAGGTATGTCACTCGTCAGCTTTTAAGAAAAAGTTCGGTCAGAACCACTAACTTCAAAACTATTAATTACAATTCAATTTTCATAACACGTTTTAATTAAACAATACAAATTAATATACAATGTTCAATTTTAAAAGTGCTTAGAAAGTCATAAAGAAACAAGATTTGACGAATTTGTTCATTTACGATTTACTGCAAAGGTAGCGATATAGACTTCGATTAATTTTTGTAGGCAACGAGAAGCTGTCTCGTCTACTGAGTCAAGGTTCTTACGAAATGAGAATGGACATGGGCGACTTCGACAACCAAACACGTTATATCAAATACTCCAGTATGACTCTTGGTGACGAAGCCTCAAAATACGCCATTTCACTATCTGGATATTCTGGGGACGTAGGTATGTGATTTTGTTTTGTTGTTCTTAAAGAAACCCCAGTTTTTAGTAGAATGAAAATGTTCAGATGACTGTAGAATTCATAAATCATTCAAAGACAGTCCAACAGAAAATCAACCAATATTAGAAAAAAAATCCAATGTGACAATTGGATTTTTCCCGGAAAATGATGTGATTGTTGTGTTGTCCTTATGGACTAGTGTAACTGAAGTTTTGTTTGAAAATCATTAGCCTATTAATTAAAATTATATCGTTATGTTTTGTGCTGTTGAATTTCCCTAAATAACCATTGATTGCAGGTCGGAGACAAAGACCTGTGAATCCGAATACTTTATCAATAGATTTGTGATTTATTCAGAAATAAATCCTGAAATACTTCTCCTTTCATTTTAAAAAATAAATTTAGTGGGTAAAGGAGCTTAATTATATATTTTTTTTAAATTATCTATTTCGTGAAATATTGACGCAGAGTTATCTCCCATAGCATATGGAAATCGGCAAAGCATCGTACTATCAGATTTAGAACTGATACACTGAAGTATATTATTCAGGAAAAATATGGGTTAATTATTGAATAAAAATGGAATCCAATTTCTTCTTTTAACGTTATTTTAAGTAAAAAAGAAAATACCCTCTAATATCCAGGTTGAATCAACGTTTTAATTGCTCTCTCAGTGACGTCATTGGCAAAGCTGAGGTCAATATTGATATATTTATGGTGAATATCAAACCATATTCATTGCCAAAGGAGTCCATATTGTATATTTTCAAATGTATTTGCAAGTATTTTGTTTTTTTAGAACCTGTAGTGCTGGTATAGTGTATAGTGCATGATGTTACTCAATCATTATCTCTAGCAAACATTTGAATTTTCTATTTAAGTAAATTAGAATACGCTTCAATGTACTGTGCATATTACATGTATATGGTATACTTACTTATTGCTCTTGTGTACGTTTTGAAATAGGAACGAATAGAAATATATATATATATACACCGTAGCATATTAAAAAATACATAATGATAAATATGTGATCATTCAGTTTGATGAGTTCCATGTTTCCATCAAAGAGACACGCTGACGCAAAAACAGGAAAATTTTGAACTTATGCATGATAAATGCGAATTTGAATTTTCTTCAGTTCTTCAAAGTTTTAAATTTCACGAAATTCAAGGTTCAAGAAAAGAAATGCTTGTCTAAGCCAGACAAACACATTGCTTCACCCCTTTCTCCTCATAGTACTCGGGCGCATAGAAATTGAAAAAGTGGACATAAAAATAAGTGCTGGATAATATATTAACCGCATCGTTGATATCGCCCATGTCAAACACTTATACTTTTATTTCTAGCGTAAAACACGTCAACAACCTTGGAGCATGAAAGTTCTAAAATATGTTGTGATTATCTTTTTTGAAATTGTATCAAAATTTTCGGTCTACCGAAGCTTTTTCTGCTTGATTTCAGTGTAAATGAGTTCGTCAAAACTACCCTATACTAATATTTTATCCTTCTTATGATTTATGAATGAATATCGTAAAAGAACGCATGATCTTTAATCATTTGTACCATAGGACTGGCGGTAAATTTAGATTTTGCTTTCATGTTGCTGTGGTGTATTTGCCAGAAGAATCACAGTTTTTTTTAAGTCACGCCCACCTTTTGGCATCAAACCATACTGTGTCAAGACCTTGACTAATGAATGAATGATGTCAATTTCAAGACCAAGGCAATGGCTGATGAATGAATTAAGTCAACATTTTAAATTTCAAAAATACTAACATTATTAAGCTTGTCGGTGTCCGCTTCATAAATGGTTCTGTATGTTTTCTCCGCGTATCCTTAATAAGTAAATGATACGTCCTATCTCGAATTCTCGTCATTTTCTTTCCCGTCTCCAAATACATATAGCAATTTCACATCAGAAGTCCCGCATTTTTTTTACTTCCAATACCATTTCAAACTTTCATTAAAATGTCACAAATCATTTCATTTTTTTCTGTACGCCGATTGCCATAAAGAAAAAGTTCAATGCCGATGTTTCCCATATCCATCCCCCCTTTTTTCAAAAAAAAAACGATCTAGAAAGATAACCTTTCTTTCAGAGTTGACGGCTTGAACATAAAAGCCTACAATCGCTACCCCTATACCTGTACCTGACAAAAATCATGTTTTCTGCGTCTTCAACATTTCAAAGGTACAATATCTTCACACGTACCAGTTCCGATTTTTTTATCAACAACTTGTAGTAGCAGTGCCGCAGTAAAGTATGATCCTTGCAGATGGAGACAGCTATTTATACAGACTCCGGACCGTGTCTTGACACCTCGTAGTAGGCGGTGCCATTTATCAACTCGCTTTTCTCTCATTGGTCCTCTGGTACAAGTAACTTACACAATAGATATTAATTGGTTAGCTGTAAATACACTCACAGTTTTTATTCACTCGGGGCTCCGCCCCTCGTGAATGAAAAACTGTGAGTGTATTTACAGCTAACCAATTAATATCTATAGTGTAACTATAACTTATGTCTCTTAAAAGTGTTGAATTTGAAATATTTCAACTTTACATAATCAATGAACAATTCATTCATAGCTGATTGCTTTACAATCGGAACGTCTGCTACCAGAATCAACAACACGAAGTTCACCACAATGGATCAGGACAACGATTTACGATCCGGTGGAAACTGTGCAATCCTGTTCAAATCCGGTTGGTGGCATAATTCCTGTCATTGTTCTAATCCAAACGGATTATACCTAGCAGGAAATACAACCATTTATGCTCAGGGCATCGTGTACCGGCCTTGGCGTACATACTTTTACTCACTTAAATTCATGCAGTTGATGGTCAGACGGGTTGGGTAAAAAAACGTTAACACAAATACCACAAAGCTTAATTATAAAACATACCGGTGGCACTATAATGAAAAACTCTGAGTGAAATTGTCTACTTATAAATGGTCAGTTTTTTTTATTGGATTTCCTGGGAAAGGATGCAAATTTAATTTTTATGGGCAGGATCAGTTTCAAAATGTATACATACAAGTAAGTTACTTCTTCAAAGCAGATAAATTATCAGCTTTTTTAGTCGACAATTTTTATTCACATTTCCAGAGTGTCTTTTAATTTGGAAATCTAAAGAAACATCAGCTTACGTGTATTTTATGAGTTCTCGATATACATGTTTAAGATTTTATGTATACTTACTGGACCTTAATTTCACATTTACATATTAGAATCCGTGGCCATAAAACTAAGCCAAGATCAAGTATGAGCTTAGTCACTTTCCACTTCAATACTTTCCTTTTGTTCAAGTGAGTCTGAGATCAAAAGGGAGCTTATCTAAGTTTTATGGTCTAGTTCACAAGTAATTTCTAAAGTCGTCAGTTTGCATGAAATATATGGAGATAACAAACAGTATTCAAGCTCAAAAGTCCATTAAACAATACAAAATAGGAGCAGAGCAAACACGGACCTCCAAACATCAGAGGTGGGATCAGGTGCCATGGAGGAGTGAGCATCCCCTGCCGACCGGTCACACCTCCCGTGTGCTCCTTGTCATGATCGGGAAATAATAAATTCATGTAATACATGTAGAAACATTAATATTGCCATGTATATTTATAAACCCACGTACAAGTTTATTTTACATAGGAGTGATATATAATTATAAAGTTTTAGGAGAAATGTTATTTTATGCATAGTACAGTGAAACCTGTCAAATCCGACTTGCATTGGGAGACAAATTTTGTGTCGGAATAGACAGGATGTCAAATTATACAGGGTTAAGGACACTGAAACTAGAAAAATGGGAGTGAAAATAAAGGTCAGAATTTACAGTGAAACAGACTAAACAGCTGTCGGATTAGACAGTTTTCACTCTCACATACATGTAGAAATGTCAGTGAATATCTATATTTACGACTGTAAATCAGTGCTGCATTGAATGGATTAACAAAATATTTTTTTTCATTTTTTATATATAAAGGAAACAATTGTATGCTTGATTTGAATTATTTTATGTACAAAACGAATATTTTGTTCCTCTGCTTTTTCAGGTACATGTTTCTACCTTTTTTATTTTATTAAAATAAATCAATCAAGTTGGATAGAGATAATTGTATATTTTTTCTGGTTTTCATTATACGCATGTTGAACCTCGGGCACCATGTGACCAACCTGTGCTTTATTACATACATAGTAATAAATACAGGTTTCCTGCATATCCGATATGCCTGACGTCACAAAAGCTCTAGTAGCCTACATGGCTGATACGGACCCTGCATGGCAGATATATCTCTAACGTTCTTCTTTAAGAGAAACTGAACTGACCAGGAGTGTTTTCTATTGCTTTTTTCATTTCTTTTTTATAACTCTTGTTAATACTTTGAAGCATTTGATAAAGAAATAAGATTTTGCTAAGAGTGGTAACTCAAAATTTGATGCAATACTATGTTTATTTCATAACACTTTTATTTTGATCGATGAGTAAGAAAGTTTAAATTTTTAGCAATACTGGCGGAAGACAAAAAGATGTGAGACAAACACAGTGTCTGTTGTTGTCTAAGTATTTGTTAACAATGTTTCAAAGAATTTCTTCTCCTACAGTTTTTTTGCTCGATTGTAAAAAAGAAAACACGTGATACATAAGGAAGATATACAAAGTAAACACAATTTCATTTTATCAAAACGTTACTACTTCTAAAGTTTGGATTCGATATCTATACGATTTACACAAATAGACTTCTATATTGGTTTTCAATCAAATCCTTTCTTTACATAGTCGTTTGTAATGGTAATTGTTTCTATAAAATTCTTTAAAACCGCTATTCCTCTTAAAAGTTTTGGTCAAATATTAAAAGAAGAAACATACATTATACATATTATCAAAGTAGTCTGTATTACTAATGTTTTGAGCAGATACTAGTTCACTGTACATGTATAAACAAAGAAGTAAACTTAACCAATACACAAAGTTCTTTACATATTTTTTTTTTGAATTTCAATGAACGGTGTTGCCATGATTACTGTTTCTGTGTGAAATTCAAAACCACTACTGTTCTGCAAGTTTTGGTCCGGTTTCCGTAAAACTTGGTACACGTTGAGACTTAACTAAGACGCATAACTCTGAGTATCTGTAATTGATTTCGAAGAAATTTGTTACTTAACAATATTTAATTAAAAAGTGGGGTTTTTTAATTTAAAAAAAAAAATCGATTGTCACTCACTTCCCCTTGTATTGAATTCGTATGATATAGGAAGACTGATTTTGTCTGTTAATACAGTAAAAAAAAAACAGGAGAAAATATCAAAGTTGATCTGATAAAGCGGTATATCTGTGTAATATCATTTATTAAATCATGATAACAACCAAACCAATTATGTCTATATACATTTTTGAAATCTAGTTAGAGCGCCTCTGTGTACCGAATTTAGAATCCTCTAATGTTTTAAGGCACAACGAATATTTTTCAGAAATGTTATTCACAACAAACTTGGTCTTTCGCTGTAAGTTTTGGGAACTTTTATTTAAAGGCCGCTTACCCCCTCCCCCTTTCCCCTCCTACCTTTCCATTCCCATACAAAGCTTATTCTGCTCATCAACTTATTTTGTCTGCATTTCATCTATTCTTTTGGCCTCCCTCCACCTAGAAAAAAAAGTTTTTTTAAAAAAATGATGATACATGTACTTATCTTTAACGTTAATATCGTCCGTCCAACAAGAATTGCAGACACACTCTAATTAAAATTGTTTATTCAAGCCAAAGTCTTTCTCATGGACATGCATATATTGTGCATCCAATATATATTTTTAATTGACACAATCTGCTTTCCATTATACATTAATATTTTCAATAATGTTAAATTGAAATATAAACAATAATCACATATCTCTAAAATTTTTCATCTGAAATGTCAATACTTGGAATAGAAGTCCTTAATTAGGGGATCAAACCCCCATAGAGGAGACGCCGGTATTAACTTCAATGCTGAATGTTTGTGTCATTGCAATAACAGAAGTGGAAGAAGATTCCACAAGTGGTACTTAAATGGGAATTCTTACCAACGCAGAAAACAGACAGTTTAGTTCACCAGATTGTTATGTACAATTAACGGAAACTTAAGGAACAGCAGTGAACACCAATGATAGCCTTTGCTTGCAGCCACTGTAGTAAATCATAATCTACACTAACACGCTACATCTGTCACATAGTATCACACACTTGAAGGGCCATTAGTTCCATAAATATTGTAAAGTATTTTATCCTATAGGACTGGTTTGATATTTAATTATTATTCATAATTGCACACCGGACGCGGTGTCATAGTACATGTAGTAGGGCCCTTGGTTCGTGAACGGAAGGTCCGGCTCCGCTTCAAAACTAAGACGCTGTGAACATTGGTAGTGGCTTTTCCTTCGCCAAGCGTCACGAAAAGTAACCCCTGTAGAATATTGACCGGGGGATCAAATTTCTACGTGGAAAACTGACTTCCGGCCAATATTCTACTGCAAGTAGGGTCATTTTTTGACCGTAAAAAACCCCTTACAGGCCGGTAATCCTACGACTCCACACACTTTGAAAAATGACCCCCAGAGAAATCTGACCCCCTACTTCTTAACTATATTATATAATACAAGTAAAACTTGTCTAATTCGGATGTATAATCCGAAATCTTGCTTACTACGATGTCAGTAAATTCATTCGTTTTAAATGTTGTCTAATCCGGAAAGCTGTCTAATCCGGCCATTTTCTATGGAACCAGTAGTGTCCGGACTAGATAAGTTTTACTGTAAAACCTTAAGAAATAAAATACGCTTTAATCCCAGGGTTGGGCAGGGTCGGCGAAGGCCCAGAGATAACTGCGTCTCCTGATTTTTTTTAATACTCTCAAATGTATGTTGGGGAGCAAAGAACTTTCTCCCTCCTTAACGCCACTTCCTTATACTATCATCATATACAATGTATGTGGTATGTTTTTTTGCTTGCTTCCCTTGAGGTTACTGACCTCGTGACCCTTGACCTTTGACCTACTTTTCAAAAATAGATCATAGTGCCGATATATGGAATATATCTGACATTTAAGAGGTTAAGTCTATGTTATTTAGCATGTGCACTGTTTGTCATCTGATATTATGAAAAATACCAGCATTACAATCCACTCATATGGATCATTTAGAATGACAATCGCAGTAAAGACAAACTGAAATCTCTTTTGGAGGATTGTTGGAAACACGTTGAGCTTATGATACAGTGCTTTGAAACTATCATATTCGCTTACCATATCTATACTACTATATTAAAATAATAGACTCGAATTTTTGGCCTTTAATACCGATAAATCGGAAGAGTGCTGTCTTTTGTTTGATATATTTTAAACATCATTGGTACTTGAAGATTACCAATTTGTTTTTATTTTTTCTCAATTAAGCTTCGCTAATTAATAATCAACGAAAATTCCTCAAAAAATTCCGGAAATCATCTGGAATTTTTGGATTTCACAATCTTGCGCGTGCGCATTACATTCACGCTAAATCACGGTATTCAAATCAATCTCCCTTGCAGAGTTGTCGTTCGTTTCTCGCTCATACATGAATGTATGAGCCGTTGGTCGAGAGTGTGTTCAGATCAGAGAAGACAAAAGTAAATACTAAGTAGATATATATTTGTTATTGTATAATTTCTCTAATAAGAAATCATTAATATATATGAACAGAATATATAGCAAATTTCCAATGAAAATTTACACGTATTTGTCATAGGCGTCGGAACCGGGGGGGGGGGGGGGACATAATATAGGCATTGAAAATTGGGGCTTACCTTTTTTCGTTGGTTAAGCCCCCCCCCCCCATTTTCAAATAGCCACCCCACTTTCAATTTGCTTCTGACGCCTATATGTTTGTATTATCGTAATCGCTTCTGAGTTTATATCCATACAAATGTGATATTGTGGCCACGTGGGTAATCATTCGCCATCTCGGAGACACATTTATTATATGTTATTTATATCTCTGGCCATCTCAACGGAGGCAAAAAGCTCATGATCGTAGGAGCAATA